AGATTCTTTCATTTCATGATTTCAACCTGAAACCTTTTATTAAGGAAAGAGCACCTCCATCTACCGCACCACATCCTTTAATGGCCCCTCTATCTTATTTAGTAAAAAGGGGTTTGAGGAAATTTTGGAGTATTTTTTATCATTTTTATTATTTTATCTTGACATATTATATTTTAGGAAAAATTCTTTTTGCTAGAGAATTTGGTCAGAATGATATTTTATCTATGTTATTTTATCTTTTTAAATATTTTTACCCTTTTAACTTTAATATATTTTAACTAAAAACAGAAAAAAGATCAGTTTATTTTAAAATAAAAAAGATATTATAGGTTTTTAAAATTTCTAGCCAAATTCTGACCAAATTTTCTGGTCATTTAGCATTGCCCTATATTTTAATATTATTATTTCACCTTCCGACATAAATAATTTATTCTGATAGTAATTACTATTTCTGATATAACTTAATTATCTTAAAATTGATAATCAAATAAGGTATAAAAAATATTAATAACTTATTTTGATACTAATTACTGATTTTAATATAACTTAATTATTTTAAAATTAATAATTAAATAAGAAATAAAACAATCCTATCTAATCTATTTAATTATGTCCAACATACCAAACTCCCCTTAATGCTATCAAAAATTGGCATCAACGTTATAGCAATATACTCTCTATGGAAGGATCAAATCACTACAATAAAAATAATCTTGAGTAACAATTAATTAATATAATAATTTAATTATTATTAAATATGTATTTTTAGCTAGTGATAATAATATTCTTTGTAAATGTTCCTTAAATTTATAGCAATATTAAATTCAATGACAATTTATTAATATCGATAAAAAATTATACTTTGTCAATGTGTTATTTATTGCTATTAAAAATTAATTTTACTATAATGGGTTTAAAGTGTGTGTTGTTTCGATTTGAACTACATTAAGTTTAAGATAATCATAATTTTCTTATTAAAGTATTTAGAAAAAAATTGAATAAAAAAATTCGAAGTGAAAGGTAGAACTATTTACCTTCCCAAAGATTAATGTTATAAAATGGAACAAAAGAATATTATTATTTTTATTGAATAAAAGAAAGTTTTAACAGTAACTATCCCTTTCTTGTCCTTTGCGACCTTCTTTTTCATATAGTTAAAATAAAAATGTGATTTAGTTTTGCGTGAAAGAAGATTGTTGCACTAATTTTTAAATTTACTACTCCCTAGTTCATTTTTATTTGGTCATAATGAATTATATATTTTTAAAAATAATAAAAATTATAATATTCGTATAGTTTTAATAAAGTTGAAAAATGATTTGAAAGATACAGTAATTAATAAGTGAATTTTATGTTAATATTAAAATTTTCTTTTGATATTTATAAATAAGTAAAAAAATAAATTGTGATTTATAATTCATAAATTAAATTTTTTGGCCCATCTCTGGTGCACGTTGTAATGATAAAGACATATACTAGTTGTTATTATAAGTAATTTGGGGTGTTCCAAAGATTTAAGATTTCAATTTCCTCTCCATTCATATGTATTTATTTAAAAATTTCTTAAATAATACTTGTTGGAAAGCGGCTTCTCCCTCTTTCTTATAGGCCTCGTCTCTCTTACATGAGCTAATTAATCCTCCGGGATGATATTTTATAATACCTTTTCAAATAAACCTATAGGAACTTCAATCCCAAAAATAAAAAAATTGCACAATAAAAGCTTTTTTCAAAAAAGAAGAAAAAAATTCTGATAGTGAGAGTAAAACAGGTGAACACTAGCTCATTCAAGGCGTCTAAAACACCTTCAAGATGTCTGAAACTGTTGAGCTATAATAGCTTGTTGTGTCAAGAATGTCCAAAATATGTTATTTAATCACTTCGTATATCATTTTACTTGTATATACAGAAAAAAAATTCAACGAAGGGACACCCTTAATTACATGCACGTGGCTCCGCCCCTGGTCATGGGTGTCACATACACTCCCGGCCTATGAGGTTCAGTTTCCTTGTTAAGGCTTGACCCATCATCATATAAGGAAGTGTCAGTCTCTACTGATATCATATTTGTCACGATTTAAACCTATAATCCTTTTGGCCCAATAGAGATATTATAAATTTATCTCTCGAACTATACCATCATCGAGTCTAAAAAGATGCATATCATGTAAACTTTTGTTATGTCTCATAAAATTTATCACTTTCCTCTCTTATTTCGATATGAAATTTAACTAAGGTATCATATGTACCCTCTCTTCAAGAAGTTCTCAACCCAAAAGGAGCTGTCAGTCCTTCTATTTGACCTATACTTGTTGGTTCATCCTCTGTTATGATCATATCATTATATGGTTATTTTCTAATTCTATTTTGATCCATAAGTAATGTTGAGTAAAAAATTATTCATATCTGATGTTTATGTAAAATAAATAAATGCAACATACTAATTGTCTTTCATATATATATACATATCGATTATTTAACAATAATTATGTGATATGTATGTATTCTCATATTAAATTTAACTAACAAGGTTAAATTATCTATTTTTATTAAATATCGAGGGTAGTTAAGTTCTTAACAGTACCCTTTTATTAATTAATCAAATCCAATAAAGACTAATACTTCATTTTATTTTATATGATTGTTGTTTGATCAAGTATGAAAATTAACAACAAAATTTGAAAAAAAATCTTGCACATACCAAAGTTATTCTTAGAACTTATAATTTTAAACAAGTTATAATATCACTAGGACTATAAGATAATTTATTAAGAATAAAATAAAAAAATTGAATTAATCAACAAATGAGGACTAAATTTACTTGTTATATATCGAGGTGTCCCATACACAAAGAAGGGAAAGAACGGAGCCCGAAAAGGCCGCGCATGCACATGCATATTTAACAGGCGCGCGTGCCTTCTTAATTTTGATTCCCCGTCTTAAAATATTTATCGTGTTTCTGTTATACGATTTTAAGAAATATATCAATTACAAGAGATAGCTACTTTTATTTTTATTTACGACTTAAGATATAATTTTCAAATTATTACTAAAAAATCGGATAAATAAGAAAAAAGAGTTAATTTTATCATAAACTTCTCAAATGATCAATACATTTTGAGACATATATTTTTATTAAGGACGACGAGTATTTTGAGACGAATGAATAAATACTCAATTCATCTCTCTAGCTCTTAATTTATTTATTTTTATTTCTCATATAGTATTAGGTATCCATATTAGATTCTGACGATTCAGATTTGGGTTGTACAAGGCCCATTTGAGAGAACATTTTTGAGAGAAAACGTTCCCTATCAAGAATTTTCTTATACTCATGATTCGAATATGAAATCTTTGATTAAGGCAAAAACAGTCACATCCATTGCAAAACATTCTTTAACTTTTAAAATTTATATAGTATTGTTTGGATTTTATTAATTATTTTTAAAATTGTGGACACAAAATTCTTTATTTTCAAAAATATTATTTTACATTTAAAAATAACATAAAGATAATATAAATTATAAAAATTAATAAATTTAAATTATCTAAATATTATATGAAAGTTGCGATAAAAATAATCGGTTTATTTTTTTAAATCTGAAGGGTGACTTCCGACTTATAAGTTAAAACAATTTATTTTCTCCAGAAAACGACAACTTCTAAAAAGACAAGTTAGCAACCCAAACAATAATTTTTTATTCTTATATATATATATATATATATATATACTTAATACTTAATACCGTGCAAATGAAGCAAAAATATTTTTTGCTTTAGTTTATATATAAAATTAATAAATCCTCTTAATATAAGAAAATATTATAAGTAGTAAAGTAGCAAAGTGGGTTCAAAATTTACTTTGTCACATATTCAAATTTGGTTGTGACATTCTATAGAAAAAAATCTTATATTATTTTCGAACGGATTATTACGCTTAAGTGATCTGATTATATCTATAAATAAATTATCCATCTATAAAAAAAATTAAAACTCATTCTTAATATAATAATAATAATAATAATTTGGAATGAAGGTAAAAAATAAAATAGCAACAAGATGACAGAAAGAACATCTAGGGAAGTGAGAAAGAGAAACACCTAAAGCAAAGAACTTTGAAACCCTCAGAATGAAGTGTAATTCTAATTCCTATCTGTCTTCAAACACCAAGCAAAGAATAATAGAAACCACAAACCCCACACCCCTTACCCGATTTCCACCGTCTCAAAATAATTGTCATTTTAGTAAAAATATTTATTTCAAAATAAGTCATGTCACTTTTCAAATTCAACAATATGAGATCGTTATTTCTGTTTATGTTTATATTACACCTTTTTGAATTATTGAATTAATACAAAAAAAAAAAATTGATCATATTTTATATCTTTTAAATATTTTGAATTAAAAATTATTGTGATTTATAATTTTTTTACTTAATTTTTTAAAGTGTTCATATTTATTTGTAAAATTTCCAAAAAAAAAATTTAAGAGGTGCATTAGTAAAATTATTATTTTTATTTATGTTAAAATCATACAGAAAAGTGATTAAGTAATATGAACGAGTATAAAATTTGACATAGAAAAGCTAAAGTTTCAGTCTTTGTATTGGAGACTGGAAACACTCCTCCCATTACCCCACCCCCCACCCCTCAAACCCCACACCAAACTCCATCCTCCAAGAAGCTCATATTTCAGTCTCCCTCTCTCCACTCAATTAATTCCCTCTTCATTTTCATATATTTTTTAAAAATAATATTATTTTTTTTACAAAAGTACTAGTACTACATGTCTTGATCACAACTAAATAGAGTAGTATTTATTTGTCCACAACCCACATGGAGTTAAATTGAAACTCTAAAAAAACAGGTGCACAACCCATTATTCTTGTACATTTTATATTAGCTCATGCCTAGGAGTTGCTGTTAGTCAGACAAAGAGAAGAAGAAGAGAATTATAATTCCATTATAGTATATAGTTTTTTTTTAAAAAAAAATAATTTCTAGAGTTTTGAGAATTCTTGGTATTAGTGAAAAATAGTCATGAACATGTTGTACTAGGACTTTTGAGATTTTCTTGAATTGTAGTTCAATTGTGTGTGCGGCGGTAATTATGGATAATTGGTGTTTTGTTCATCATTACACAACAAGACAATGCCAATGTTATTGTACAACAACAACACAAGAAGAAGATCAAGAATTACAAGAAGAAGAAGAAACAAGAAGTTACAATTCCACAAAAATTCATGTTATGGCTTCTAGATATTCCAAGAATATTTCACCAATCATTTACATTTTTGTTTTCTTCCTCTTCTCTGTTTGTCCTGTTTTGTCATCACTAGAACAATTCAACCAAACTTTTAACCCAAGTGATGACATGAAAATCATTAAATCACATCTCATGAAAATCAATAAACCTTCTATCAAGACAATTAAGGTATTCCCAATTCCATTTTTTCTCTTTTTTTTTTACTTTCTTTTCTTGTATTAATAATAACTGATTTTTTGTGATGTAGAGTCCTGATGGAGATCTTATAGATTGTGTATTATCACATCAACAACCTGCTTTCGATCATCCTCAATTAAAAGGCCAAAAACCATTGGTAAACCAATCATCTCTTTTTATTTACTGACTCGACTAATCAGGATTTGCATTGAGTCAAGTCCATAGAGGGTTGAATTTTTCTTGTAGCTCATCTTTTCCATAAAGGGAAACGCTTTTTACTTAGAGTTTCTCTATTCTGAAGACTCGAACCTGAAACTCTTGATTAAGGGTGAAGGAATCTCATTCGTTTCGATAATTTTTAGATTTGTACTGTAGATTTCAAAATGTTTTTTTTTATTATAGGAGCTAGCTGAGAGGCCAAGATCATCAGGACACAACATAAATTCAATGGAATTTGAAAATTTTCAACTTTGGAGCATGTCTGGTGAAACATGTCCAGAAGGAACAATTCCAGTTAGAAGAACAAAAGAACAAGACATTCTAAGAGCTAGTTCTATTCGAAGATTTGGTAGAAAAATTAAAAGACCAGTTCGTAGAGACACTACTAGTAATGGCCATGAGGTTTGTTTTTTCCTAATTAAATTTACGTTGTTCAGACTCTTCAAAAATATATTTTAATGTGTGTCGGATCCTCTGAAAGTATAGTGCAGTTTTGAAGGATCTGGCACGGAGGTGATAATATTTTTAAGGAGTCTTGAACAATATTAGAATTAAACATTTTTTGACTTTATTTCAAAATGGATTTATTTTCATATCAAACTATTGTATTTTCAGAATAAAATTTCAAGAACTTTAAGTGATTTTGTTATGAGTTGTTACTTTTAACATTTTTTTGTTATGAAATGCTTTGTCAAGTTACTATTTTTGGTTCATGCCGACTTTCATGTTTTTTTTTTCTTTTTTCCATATTTAGTTTCATTAATTTCATTTTCCGTTTATCTTTTTCTATATGCAAATAATAGTCACATAAACTTTTTCATCAAAAATCCAGAATTGCATTTTTAAGATACCCCATTTATTTCTCCTCACAAAATAAAATACAAATTTATTTAAATTATTTTTCCTCTTAATTAATTTTCTAAAAGCAATTAATAAACCTTAATTTTTTTAAAAATATTTTCGACCCTCTTAATTTTTTTAATTTTTTTTTGGAATTACAGCATGCAGTAGGATATGTAACTGGAGATCAATATTATGGTGCAAAAGCAAGTATAAATGTGTGGGCACCTAAAGTTACCAATCAATATGAATTTAGTTTATCACAAATGTGGGTTATTTCTGGTTCATTTGGGGATGATCTTAATACAATTGAAGCTGGTTGGCAGGTATGTTCTTATTAATTTATTTTTTGACTTTATATTATGTGTTCACTCCGTGCACGATAAATAAATAAATTTTTGTATCAAGTCTGACATGATAACTCGAATCAAAATATGAATAACCTTGTCTTTAGAAAGTGTAGTCACTACCTAAGAATATAGTTAGTCTGCGTGGGTGAATGAAAGCCCCTAGAAGGAAGCAATACATCCTATGTCATAGGTGTTATACCGTCTCTATTTATTATTATGATTAATCAGTGCATCAAGATATCGATCATATATTATTTTTAGATACTTTGATGGAAAACGCGGTTTCTTGGATTTAAATGTGACATGTACTGAAATAGAGGATAGTACTTAATAGAGTGAACCATTTTCTTTAGTGTCATTTAAAGCATGCCATTAAATCTTCAGCTACCTTTCAATATCAACAAATCTTTTTCTGCATTATCAGCATTTACAATATATAGTTTTCTAAATTATTTCATTTAATTATAACAGGTAAGCCCAGAGTTATATGGTGACAATTATCCAAGGTTCTTCACCTATTGGACTGTAAGTATTTTTAATTCATTGACATCATCTATTAATTCAAGTAAAACTATAACCAACTAAGGTTATGGTGGAGTGTTAACTGTTAAGTATTCCTTCATATCCTTAATCAGTGATCTCGGGTTCGAGTCCATTGGGTACAGAGTTGCCTCTGTTAGGGAGTGTTTTAAGTGGGACTTCCTGGTGTGAATTCTGATTTAATCAGGCTTCAATGCGGAAAATCATAAAAAATAAAAATTAAAGTAAAACTATTGAATTATTTATTAATTTTTGTTTAAATGATTTATTTTTTCAGAGTGATGCATACCAAGCCACAGGATGCTATAATTTATTGTGTTCAGGATTTGTTCAGACAAATAATAGAATAGCAATTGGGGCAGCAATTTCTCCAACATCCTCTTATAATGGTGGTCAATATGATATTAGCATCATGATTTGGAAGGTAATTACATTTCTCTATACAACAAAAAGAAATAAATTGGGTCTTTACTTGCACTTTAATTCGTACGATTTTTTCAAAAGGCCAAATTTATATTTAATATATGTAGGTTTTTTTATAAAAAAAAAATTGATGTGGAAATTAGTTCGTGGGTCTAAAAAATCTCCCTTTGAACTAGCAGCGACCCAATAGACAATGGGTAAAAAGACCTTATAGCCACACTCCTACGCCATCACTCTGTCATCTTTACTCGTCTAACTGAATCATTGACTCTTATACAACTAGTTGTTGCGGACCAAAATAGTTTCAAGATACTCTTACATGGTGTGATATTGTCCGCTTGAATAAAGGCGCACGATTTTTCCAAAAGGCTTCAAGAATTCTACACCTTATATATGAATATATGAATATATGAATAGTTTCTTTTCCTTTTCAACTTCCAATGTGAGGAATTAATTCTCGCACCCAACATAAACATCATTTCTAAATATCTCCTTTATTTCTTCCAAAAATACATTTTCATTAATTTCTTAGCAATTCTTTTCCCCAGTGAAATGTGTTTTAAATTAAAATTAAGCAACTTAGGAGGTTCATTTTAAAGGGGTACGTACTAATCTTTAACTAAAATCGATGTTATTGTCTTCTCTCTTTTTCTTTTTCTTTTCTTCTTGCCTTTTCTTTTAATCTTCTCATCATACTTTTATCTTTTAGTTTTATTCATACTAGAAAATGCAAAATGACTATTAATCATTTAATAGATGTGATTCATCAAATAAAATTTGTTTTATTAATCAAAAATAAAAGAACTATAATGGTTAAAATAAAAGAATGAAAAGGAAAAAAGAAAAAGTATTTGACATGAATTTACATCATGCTTGCATGTGTATGTATTAATTTTTACCTAAGGTGGAATCTTAAAGTTTCATTCATCGTATTTTTTTTTCAGTGGAAACAATCATTTTGTTTGTGCTTTTAATTTTTTCCCCCACTTTGTAAGATTCTCTTGACTCTTCTTTACCAAGCAAAAGCCTTCTCTGACCCATCCACTTGTTCTTATTTTTCACTTTATAATTAGCTCTCTAAATCTCAAATTGTATTTTTAGTTAACCTTGCTTTAGTTATCAAATTAATTTGTGGCATTAATTCCAATTAAAAAACTTTCTTATTTATCTTTTTACTAAAACACGATCAATTAGGCCTCTTTATATGTACGCAAAATACCTAATAAGTTTGGCATACATTCTACTTTTCTCTGCTCCTTCTTCAGACTCTATTTGTGAGATTATATTGAATATATTGTTATTTCTCACCCTTGACCCATGAACTCTTTATATGTTTGTTAGTAGATTGTAATTGAATAGGCTAAGACGCTTGGTCATGTTTCATTATGATTTTTTTTTTAAATAGTTTTTTTTCTTCAAAATGATAGATATTTGAATAGTTGTGTTTGACCATAAATGCAAATTAGAGTTGTTTTTGAACTTTTTATAATTAATTTGGAGTGGAAAACGTGAAAACACATTATTGTTGTTTTTTGAATTCTTGAAAACTCTGAAATTCAGTTTCAAGTTGAATTTCAAAATTTTATGATCAAATGTGTTTTTCAAAGTTCAACTCCAAAAAAAAATGTAAATTTTGATACTATGAGGGTCATTAATCATGCGTAGTACATACCCATAATTAGCTATTTTACTGACACTATGATAGGTGTTACAAGCTGCTTTTTACGTACAGGTTAAGAAAAATAGCTGAAAAGTGCAATCACATATTTATAATTATTTGTTGTATGCAGGATCCAAAACATGGACATTGGTGGTTAGAATTTGGATCAGGAGTATTAGTAGGATATTGGCCATCATTTTTGTTCACACATCTTAGAGGTTCAGCAAGTATGATACAATTTGGAGGTGAAATAGTGAATAGTAGAGGAAATGGATTTCATACATCAACACAAATGGGAAGTGGACATTTTGCTGGTGAAGGTTTTGGAAAAGCATCTTATTTTAGAAATTTACAAGTGGTTGATTGGGATAATAGTTTAATACCATTATCTAATCTCAAAGTATTAGCTGATCATCCAAATTGTTATGATATTCAAGGTGGGATTAATCGTGTTTGGGGTAATTATTTTTATTATGGTGGACCTGGTAGAAATCAACGTTGTTCTTAAAATTAAGAGGGTGGGGGTGGGGGGAGGGTACATGTTTTTTTTAAAATTATTATTCTTTACATTTGTATTGTTAAGTCTAATTAACAAGTGGTTCATCAAAATTAGTTGTTATACCACGTTGAATCAGGGGAGTTGTGTAAATTGGCAAAGGAAATAGTGAATATTTTATATAATATGTTTTTTTGATGTGTTAGTTTATATATGTTTTGTATGTTCTATTTATTTTGTCGTATCAAATGAAGTGTTATTTTCCAATTATATACATTTCGTCTACCATCAAATTAAATGATGTGGTGTAATGGATGAAATTATTTTTTTTCTTAACTATAGGTCTCAAGTTTGAATCTTGGGTATGATTTTTTTTTATAGGAAGCGATACCGCATGAATGGAGCCCCTACTCAGTGTGGATCTGAATTAGTTGGGCTCGAATGCAGATACAGTACATCAAATGGAAAAAAAAAAAAAAAAAATTACGTAGATTATGAATTTTTAAATCTTTATTTTAAAAATATATATATAAAATAAAATCCTATATAGGTCAAATTCAGTTCTGATGGTAGGTTAATTGACTTTATCAATCCATAAAAGAAAAGTGATAAATATATAACCCTTTTTTTTTTTTTTTTGCTTTTGTTTTATGCCTCTGGTATCTAAAACCATCCAATTAATGAAGATATGGACAGCGTTGACACTTTGACACACAACAGGTTGTTTGATTGATCGTTAGAGTTACATATAATGTTATTAATATATGGATTAGTTACGAATAGTTTAATTTTTTATTTATATATGATTCTAAAATGATAATTAAACACCACACTTGCATATGTTTGAATTGTAATTTTGAAATTAAAATTTTTAGATTAATTTTTTTTTCTTTTGAGAAGTGGAATAAAATGACATTAAGTTTGATGGGATAATAAGGTGGGGATATCCCGTATTATGTTTAGAATTAAATTGATATTTTATTTGGTTGAAGATATAAATTTATTCCAAACTTAATTCTCACCTTATTCCATGAACAAAAAAACCCTAAGACTACACTAATAATGATAAGATATCCTCTGTTTGAATTTATTTATCTGATTTTAATTTGATACGGAGTTTAAGAAAAATAAAAAAGTCTTTTGAATTTTATGATCTTAAATGAAAGATATGTAAAATGTATCAAAATGTCTTTTAATTTTGTGATTTAAATATGTCATTATGGAAAGTTAAAATTTAAAAATTGCCAAAAGAAAGATGTTTTTTAAAGCAAACTAAAAAAAAGAAGTAAAACAAATAAATTTACACTGAGAAATAGTATAGCATATATATGAGCAATATCAATACTATAAAATCATTACATAAGAAGTACTAATAATTTAGTTTCTTTTTGGTGCGGTAACCATCATCTATAATTTAGCACACCAGTAATCAAGTAGTAGTAAATTATTAGAGTATATAATCAATAGTTTACAAGAAATTGAAAGTTAGAAATTCTAAGAGCCAAGACATTATTTTAATAGGAGATTTTGTTTCCCATCATCATTTAACCTTTAAGAAATGGAAAGAGAAGAGGATGGCCAAAAAACAAACTTAAATTGGACTACACTTTGGTATTCACAAAGGGTGTCAAGATCATTACATTTCTTTGCTTGATGTACAAGCAAATGTGTATGCAAAACTTAATGAATTGAATAGATGAGTAAGAGTAAAGGAAGTCTGTCTTATTATAGGTCACTTTAAAATACGGAAAAGGATTAAAAATGCTCTTTAACGTACTAAAAATAATTTAAATTTGCCTTTTCTTCTCATATTAAATTTAAATTAGGAGAAACTATATTATTACACGAATATTCTTATCATATTTACTAATTCTTATTATAGTTTGAAATAATTACATTTTATATTACTATTTAATAATTTCATACTAGAGTTCAAGTCAGATACACCTGGATACATGTTTTATACACCTACATACATATTTTTTTGCTACCAGATACACTGAAATAGAAAGGGGGGGAGGGGGCGAGCGAGAATTGTCTATGTATCCCAAATACATGCAAATCACACTAGATACACACTAGATATATGTATTTGTGTGTATCTTGTGTGATTCGAGAGTGGTGAGCGACATGGAGGGGAGGCGAGTGAGATTTGTCTATGTATCCTAGATATATGGAAATTCACTTGGATATAGTGTATATAGATCAAATTACAACTAATTTTGAGCTCATGTATCCCTAAATACATGTATCTGGACGCACCAAAATCTGGTAAAATTTATAATATTACAAACTATCATATATCTAAGTCATTAACTCCTAAACATATGGAATTTCGTAAGTTACCCTTTAAATTATCCTTAATGTTAATTTCGGATTAATAATGTATGTTCTTCCAACTAGTGAATCTCAATTGTCCTTATCATTAATTTTAGAAAAATATCTCTTCTTTTAATGGTAATTTCTCTAATTCTTATTAAATGGTATTTTAACCGTTTTTATTTTGGTCCAGAATAAATGGAGTTTCAAATAATCAAGAAGATATTAAATTTTTTTTCAAAAAAAATTTCCCTTTGTTTAGATATGTTAATTTTTATGTAACCAAGAAGTGATATTAAATAAGTGTTACTCTCTCCGTTTCCTTCAAGTCATAATAAGGTTTTACACCATCTTGAAAAACAAATTAATTAGTCATCTATATAGGTACATATAAAATAGATACAATAGTTTCTTTTTACAATCAAATATCATAAAATAAATAAGAAAATTACTTATTTTTTAAATAAATATTTTCTATTGTAAAATAAATAAGAAAATTACTTATTTTTTAAATAAATATTTTCTATGAAATATTTTTCCTGAAAAACATATCCCAGCTTCACACCAAACATACCAAATCTTATGCAGTGCGACTTCGAATTAATTGAAGCCTAAAAAAGTAATACTAATATTGAACACCTGAAAAAATAAAAAAATAATGAAAAGTCTCACGATAGCTAATTAGTTTGATTTTCAAAAAGAAAGATAAATTATTTATTTTAAATTAGGTTTGAGGTTTTATTTTTGTACTCTTAGGTAGGTGCGCAGTATTGTTGACTTGTAAATTTGATTATTATTATTTTTCTTGAATTGTAACAATAATAAAACCATTGATAAATGTCATTGAAGGCTAGCTGTTATACTGCTGCTTAATGAATCCACCGACTTTCAATGATAGTGATGACTATATGAACAATGATCTCAACTCATATACTCCCTTCGTTTCGTATTAATTGTTCACTTTGTTCTTTACCCATTTATTAAAAAATTATAAATAAAAATGATATTTTCATTAATTTATTTTTTAAAATTTTCTAATATACTTTGTATTTATGTGTCTTATATATCAATATTAAAATTAATAATGAAAGCATTATTTTGAAACGTAAAGGTATTTATACTTTCAAAAAGGATTAATTTTAAAAAATAAATAGAATCAAGTGTATTTTAAATAAATAGAATCAAGTGTATAAATTAACAAGTAATTTGAGACAAATTCTCTTAAAATGCAGACAAGATAAGATGGAGGGAGTATATGTGGAAGGTCATGTGAGGAAGAATTCAATATTTGTAATCAAAAGTTGGAAAAGTTGTATGTGAAAGATAGAAGAACACTATAATAAAATTATTTTTTAGTGGTAATAAATATACATATTAATAATGAGTGTTAAAGTCTTTATCGGCATCAGTTAATTGTCATTAAATTCAGTCATTATATGTTATAAGGACATTCACAAAGAGTGCTAATTATCGCTAAAAATACATATGTAGCAACAATTAAATTATGTCCATTAATTAGTTGCCGGTAAGGGGTGACGGTGAGGATTGGGGTGTTGTTGGTACAATCCATCCGTTTCACATAATTTGGCTCTTATTGGCCTTACATATACATTCTTATAAAAATTATAACCAAAGATGTATTTTATTAAATTAATCTTTTTGATAATACTTTGGAACTTTAATTTTATAACTATTAATTTATATAAATATTTAATATTACATATGAACATTAAAAAAATATTATAGAATTCTCTTAATTTCATAAATAAAATAATTATTTTTTATATCGGGTCAAATAATATAAAACAAAGGAAGTATATAAGTATATATCATTTCATGAGGATACGAAGTTAGGATTGACATCAATTTGTCATTTGTGGACCTTAATTTGCAACATAAATTGTGATGGTCCAGGACCGTTAATTGCATTGGTGAAGGTTGATTGATCATTTGATATAACCTATGGAAGTTATATCAAAATACATTTTTCATTTGAGGGTGACTTCTCATACATCTTTGCACGTATATACATAATACACTAATGATAATAATTTCAAGGAAAAGGCACTAGTATTCCCTAGATTATGACTGAAATCGCAGAGACGTATCTTAACTAAACTATTAAATTCATTTTTTTTTATAATTTTGTACACCATTCTGGCTTATGTGGCATCTAAATATCTCTCATGTGCCTCAATTGCGTGGAATCATGAAGTGTGCCACTTAAGACAAAAGGTGTACAAAATTACAAAAAAAAAGAATTCAGAGACATAATAGGACCTTAGTTTAGTTAAGGTGTGTCACTATGATTTCGGTCATACTCTAGGGGGTATTTGTGCCTTAACCCATAATTTTCTTGAAAAACTTAAAAAAAAAAAAAATCTCCTCAGCAGTAAAAAAACTGTTTGTTACAAGTTTTTTTTTTCTTTTTCCAAACACTTTAAATCTTTAAGAAAATACTCCACAGTAGAGGCATTTTGATCTTTTCTAAAGTTATTAGATTTTTAGTATAAGACGGCCCACTTTAATATCAATTGATATTTTAGCACCCCTTAATCACTAGAGGGGGTGAATTGGGTTATGTCATATTTTTGCCTAAATGATATTAGAAATATTGAGAGAAACTTATATTTAAATTTTGGGACAGTTTAGAGATGTGAGTTAGTTGGAATTGAAAAAACAAAAAAAAAAATCGGTA